CCCTAAACCCTAACCTTAGATTACGCCCAGCATCCAAGGCTGAGAAACCAAGGGAGGCTCTCCGACCCGCCCAGGAGACAAAACAGCCGGGAGGCAAGGGGTTACAGGTTAGGGTTTAGGTTTAGGGTTTAGGGTTTAGGTTTCAGGTTTAAAGGTTGGATACAGAAGCCCAAATAATTACCAATATTATTCCTTAGGGTTCCTTATTATATGTATACTATAGCGGAGCCCCCAAACCCTATTCTAATTATTAAGGCCCCTACATGAGGATTTGGGGTGTTGCGTGACTTGCGGATTCTGTTCAGGGCCCGAGGGTGCTCTTGGGATTCTTGAGAGTGATCTGTGGAATTTCTATATGTGAGTCTGGCAGGGTAATAGGGTTGTAAACAGGGGCCGGGGGTTATCGGTTTAGGGTTTAAGGGTTTAGGGGTTTAGGGTTAAGAGTTTGCTACTTGGAGGATCATGGGACTTGGTAAGTAAGCTTATAAGTCCCTTAATTGGGGTTATAAGTAAATATAAGTATAGTTACCTTAATTATAACGCTACTTACTAAGTCCCATGATCCTTTAAGCAGGGGGGCTTCCCAGGTCTCAATTTGGGTTGAATGAGAGTTTTCGTGGTTGTTGTGGTTGCGCTACGACTCCCTGCCCGAGCACAAGCTCTTCACAACTCCTACTTGGATGGGTACGTATAAGTGGAGTTATATGTCAGCTAATATGGGGTATATTGATAGTTACCCCTACTTAGAACTCCACCTATAGCGACCCATAAAGCTCCAAGTATACTCGTCAATCATGGGTATTCCGGCTTTGCAATGGCTAAACCCTAAACGCTAAAACCCTAAACCCTAAATAGGGTTCAAGGTTTAGGGTTCAGGGTTCGGGTATTCGGGGGGAGGGAGCCCGGAGCTCTGAACTGTGCGGATATGTAAAATACAGAAGCCTAATTTTGAAGTCTGAATAATTACCGATATTATTGTCAAAACCATAATGATTACGGCCCCTATATTAACTAGTTACCACTATTATTCCATAGGGTTCCTCATTATGAGCTTGCTATATTATGCCCCCAGCCCTCTTGTAATTAATAAGGCCCCGATATTTTTCCTTCACGAATTGTCTAGAGCCTTTGGCCACAATACCTCTCGTAATCAAGTATGTTGCTCTTATCACCACAATTCCTCTAACACCCTGGTAGAAGCTTCTTTTAGACCTTCTTTGGCGCATATTAGCACCCAACCCCGACCCCAAACCCCGAACCCATAAACCCTAAGCCTACAGCCTAAGCCCGCTACACCCCAAGCCAGACGCTCGGCAGGCCAGCTATCGTCAATCGCCCAGCACTTCGGACTTTCTTCAGCAGGCAGCCCCGCAGAAGGCCTCATGACGGGCAGGGGATCAGGGGATCAGGGCTTCAGGCTTCCTGAGTTCTCCATTACCCAACCTTTAAGGGGGTCTAGGGTATAGGGTTTAGGGCTTAGGGCTTAGGGTTTAGGGGTTCAGGGTTCAGGGAGTTCTCCAATACCCAACCTTTTAAACATTTTGGGTTCTTATAAGTTAGTAGCAATCTGAAAGCTTAACCTTTTATTCCCCTGACTTATTGGGGAAGTAAGCTTTAGGATTTGAGGTTGCTCTATTCTAACTGCAGGGCTTCACGGGTTTAGGGCTGCAGGGAGGTTTTGCATACGGGAGTGAGCCTTGTGGTTTATGTAGAGTTTTGTTGTGCAACCGAGCCGCAAACCCTATGCCGTGTGATTGACTAATGTAGAGCCCTTTTAGCATGCTTCCCGTCTTGAAGGGCTCTACTGTACTTGGAGGTTCATGGGTAGTTATAAGTAGGGTTAGAGGGTTAGAAGTCCGGTTGCAATTTTAGTTTCCCTACTTCTATCCCCACTTATAACTACTCATGAACCTGCACGTACTATAAGGATACTTGCTAGAATCATGATTGCAGAGTTTACTGAACAGGATCCTGGTTGGGTGTCGTGTTTAAGACTTTCGGTATTGGGGTCGGTATTGGGGTTTGGGGTTTAGGGTGTACATGCAGGGTGTTGAAATGTTTCGAACATAGGCACCCCTTTTTCCCCAAAGCCTTATCGGCTAACACTAAACCCTTAACCCTAAATCCTAAATCCCAAACCATAAACCCCCAAACCGTAAGCCTGAGCCCTAAACCCGAACCCCAACGATCAGCAAACAACAACTGGGTAGTTCTCTAAGTTAGGATTCCTTTTAGGGTCCTGCTTATAAGGGTGCCGTGCTATATTTGGGAGCCCTAGACCCTAAACCCTAAACCCTAAACCCTAAACCCTAAACCCGAATTTAGAGAACTACCCAACTTGCAGTGCTGCGCTTCTGGGATGCAGGCTCCGGTGGTTGTCGTTCGCATCGAGGCCGAGACTACTTGGAGGATCATGGGACTTAGTCAGTAAGGTTCTAAGTCCCCTAACTGGGGTTATAAGTATAGTTACCTTAGTTATAACCCTACTCACTAAGTCCCATGATCCTTTAAGTAGAGTTTCGCGAGGGCTAGGTTTAGGGATGTTTAGGGTTACGGGTTTAGGGGTTTAGGGGTTTGGGTTTAGGTGTTTAGGGTTTAGGGTTCAGGGTTTAGTAAGGGATGGTTGGGGTTTAGGGTTTAGGGTGAGACAAGTGTTTTGTAAGCTTGCTTCAAAGTCTTTGGACTTGACGCGTCCCTAAACCCTAAACCCGGCTTCTTATGGAGGAGGGGTTAGGATGGGTATGGGTTTTGTAGAATATACAAGCTTGGTCGCACCAGCAGAATACTTGTTCTGTAATAACGGGTTTAGGGTTCAGGTCTGGGTTCAGGGTTGAATAGGTGCCTAAATAGTTACCTATATTGTTTTGGGGGTTCCTTACTATAACTAGAGTATAATAAGGGCCCAAAGCCCTATCCTAATTATTATGTAAGAGCCCTACATTACCTTCTGGGTTTCTTCCGTCAGTGATCCTGGGGCCGAAGCCCCTCCGCTAGGACTGGGTTTAATACAGAGGTCAGAACACTTCGTATCAATTTCAGGGGAAAGGCAGTTATCCAACACATTAAAGCCCAACTCTTAGCCCCCATCTGCAAACTGAACCAAAAACTACCCTAAACCCTAAACCCTCAACCAGAACCATACACAGAAGCAGGTCCAATCTACGTCTTTGACGACGGCCTTGCAGACAAAGGACCTCGAGGCAGATAGCCTCGATGCTTCGAAACTCTAGCGACGCACCATTTTGGCGGGTTTTAGGCATAGGGTTTGAGTTGGGAGAGCACTTAAGTACCCGAAAGCCCAAACCCTAAACCCTTAAGCCTCAAGCTATTGTGCACCCCACCTCAAGCCCTAAAGTCCTAGACCACCGGGAATGTGTCCACCGGGTATCCTGTGAGCATTTCAACCCACACCAACAGCGATGTAGGGTAGGGTTTAGGGTTTAGGCTTCTGGGTTTAGGGGTTTTGCGGTTTAGGCTTTAGGCTGCTCCCGACTTCGGCTCGGCCTGGTGTGGGATCTGATGGGATGTGCCGGGCGGATGAGGCTGCACGCACCTCTAGCCTGCGACAAAAAAGGTTCGCCTTGCCTGTTCCTCGGCATTTCCTATTCCAGCCGTCCCAATGGCCATTTCCAGGTTTGGGACTGCGAGGGCCAACCGCCACAGCAAGTCTTGGTCCACTTCCAGGTACGGAAACAGGCTGGTGATGACTCCCACTTCCTGGATTTGGACCGTCAGGGGTCCGATGTTAGGTCCTTAACATTGGACGCCCTGACAGAGCGCCTTGCCAAGGCTGGAGCCGCACATCCTCACGTTGCTGAAAAGGCGGAGAACGAGACTCCTGCCGCCACACAAGCCGGAGCAGCAACATCTCCTAAGTGGTACAGCATCTACCCCACGTACCCTTGTGGACGATGCTACTGGACTGCCTTGTTTTTCGTGGACAGGCCGGAGCAGCGAGCCTTGCCCCGAAAGGCAAATGGTGCGTTGGACATGGCAGGGGAAGCAGCGGAAATAGCCCAGGTTATAGCTTTTCGAGATCAGGTTTTGCGGGACTTGCTGCTCGAACTGGCGGTAGTGAGAACGCAGCCAGGGGCGGGTTTGCACCAGGAGGTATTGGACGGCATCGTTGCCCGGTTTGCGGAACTCCAGGACGGAGATCAAGTCCAGTTGGACGATGTCCACTTCATGGCAACCTTTACCGGGAACCGCGTCCGTATTGTTTTGCATGCTAACGTAAGGTGCATCTTCCCACCATCGCAGCACGATGTCATTTACGGTCTTCCCGGTCCTTTAGAAGCCACAATGCTGTTTCGCTTTGGACCCGACCCTACTAATGCAGGCTGGGGCTCCATCTGCTCGGGATGCACAGGCTCATCGGGCTTCGCGATCACAGGCACAGCCTGAAACGATGCAGGGCAGTGCGAGGCATCGGCGGGGTGTCATAGCCTAGAGTTTCCAAAGGGTTGATGGAGCCAAGCCGGGAATACAGGGCTTGTACAGCTTTGCCATCGTAGACTCGGCCACGCG